TCGCCACTTTTTGGCAGCATATTAATACCTAGAAATTTTGCAGAGAGGTCCCATGAACACGTTGATACTGAACAACCTTCTATACAAAATCCCATGTTTTGACCCCTAGGTATTATTTTTTTGTTAATACAATTTTGAAACAAGGCATTGCTGGATGCTTCAGTATGTCCTTAATTGTAATCTTTCTGAAAAATTATGTACAAAAGTGGCTCATAATAAATATTGAGCAAGGTCAACAGTACTTTCGTTTATTTTATTACTTTCGGTTACAAATATTTGTTTTGCTTCAACTAGTTCAAAAGAGTGGCAAAGATTAATGTGAGAAGGGCAGAATTCAATTTTCAAACTCTTCTCTTGCTAGTTACATTGTTATGTGCTTGCATTACATCAGGTCTTCATTTTTTGTATGAAGGGTATTCCAAATGATTTCATAAATAAAGATTATATGGTCAATTTAAACTATCTGGTAGGTTATAAAAGAATCAAGATGACACACTTAAATATTACCTAGTCTACACGGCAAAGGTTTTGCTCTGTAAAGTTGATAAAAACATGGACATTTCAAAAGTTCTCAAAGTTTATGGGATATATAGATTGTAATCTAAAAATAGGGGACTAAATAATTAATCTATGTAGGAAGGACGGCTACGTCTATTATTCAGCATTGGGATTGTCATTTACGCTTAATTATCACAAAATATGTATCAATCCATCTTATAAAATAGGCTTGTCTTGTAAAATTCATTGGTTGAATACATTTTTATATTTTTTTAGAGTCTATCTTCAATAGTCAATAAATAATAGTCAGCATCCTATTAGTGAAACATATTCAAATGGCTGTTTATTTTCAAATTTCAAAATAAATAACAAGGGAACTTTGTGAAGGCATGTTGACTACTGGATTCACTACTCCCATTGACATAATACAGTGAAGGCACTGGGTTAAAATAAGCTGAAACCTCTCCAAAATCGTTTATTTTTTCCTCTTATGTCATTAATCATCCTCACATGTTGTTTAACTTCTCAATAGCTTGACACTCCCTTGCTCGTAGTACAACAAAACTGTACAAAAATCAATAGGGCCTTAATTCCCTTTCTAATCTTATGTTCCTCAAATTATGCACATAAGCTTGTGTGAAATATAAAAGGGCATATGCCTAGTCCTTTTATATTTCGCTTATTTACCATTTATTGTTAAACTGAGAAAAGATCCTGTACATAATCTTCAATTTGCTCAAAATAAGTTCATTTTCTATGAATCATCAAAGTTCACAAATAACTAGAATGCTTGATATATGCTCTGAATATTTCGGTGTCCGCATACATGTTGGAGCAATCTAATATAACCTTGTTACATGTTACATGGGACAGCAAAAGTATATAAAGATCAATCAATCTGTCAGTAAACAAAATAGTATTTATTCCAAAGCATATGGAATTGTTGTGTTATTCTTATAAAATGAGCAGTAAAGAATGATTGTTACTAGAATTGAAACATAAACAACATACAAAAACGTGTAAATGTACCATTCTCAGGATATGCGATGTTTTAAAATTCCGTTATTTTTTTTCTAACACAAAAGAAACGCCGAGGATATTTATTTGCGGTTTTATTTTAAAATAGATTCATTATGTTTTGCTTACACGTGTATGTGATAAAATTGAATGGTACACTGTATTTTTTATGCAAAGAATAAATCAAACCGATTACCCCCAGTCAACAGAGTATTGTATCGTGCGGTTAATATAAATTGATGATCTGACTGACATGTTAACATCAGGTAACGTCCGGAACAAACCATCCATGTAGCATGAATTGCACACTGACTTTCGTAACATGCTAAAGAGAGCATGTAAGTAAGTGAAATAAATGATGGCTACGATTGTTATTTGCTTCATATCTTACTCTGTTAGAGCACTGCTGCAAACAATTAATGTAAATCACCAATGATATCCAAAGAAAGGTAATAAAACTAGTGTGCAGCATTCGAAACACTGGAGATGTTGCAATTATAAATTATTAGGCGATGTACTGATTCCCAATGTTGGGGTATCTGTCGTATGTCATTAGTTGATAGCATAACATTTGTCATTGTTACCCTCTAGGGGGACACATTTGGTATTATGTTTAAAAAAAAACAGAGCCTTATCATATAAAACTGGATTTGAAATTGAGTCTGTTGTTTGAAACTACATGTATTAACAAAAATATTGATCCAGAAGTTTGCAGCATATTGTGATATAAATGCAAACGTCGTATATATGTTTTTATAGCGCCCCTAGCTCTAACAATACTAGCGCATGCCAAGAGCTCGACACCTTTGCGTACAAGTCATATTGATTTAGAATGCGTCATACGTTGTGGGACAAATGTATATATTTAGTGTCTGTGATGTTAACCTTCATAATTTTGCTATCAACACAATACCCAATGCTATTTTCCCAGCTATATATCTCCAGTTTAACCAAAAACACGGTTTGCTGATACCCCCACACACACATATATAATTGTATACATATAAACATTACATCCGAAACCCTCTTTCCTGCTGTATACGTACACCATTATTGGAGACGAGTTTTTTCGTAATCTTCATGTAATTGTTAACGTCTCTTTGGTATGAAACTCTGTGACGCCCCCCCCCCTTTTCTCTATCTCTCTCTCTTTCTCTCTGTGCATCTCTCTCCTTTTTTCTCTCTCTATCCCTCTTCCTCCTCCACCTCCCTTATCTCTCTCTCGCTTAATATTCATATTCCATTTCACAGCAAGGAAATTAAGAACATATCAAGCTTAAAAGCTTGTTAATAGACACGATTTATTTCAAAATAGTTATTTCCAGCGCATTAGTAAAAGTACAAATGCAGTTTAACTAGAAAGTGCTTTTTAAATTTAGTTCGTACACATTATTGTCAAGATCTTGTTATAGAAGATAACAAGGAAAAACATTTTGAAAAGTAGGAAAGCATCGTTTACATCTTTCAAAAACTCTTTCACTAAAATAAAGATAACGTAAGTAATACAGAATGGGTAGAATAATTAATATCTCTTCACCGTGGGTACAAAAAATGGCCTTTATCATTATCTTCATAAGGCTTCCAAGTGGAACAATAAATCAGTGTATTTAATATCTTGAGCGCAGTACCCGGATGACAGATTAATATTATTTTCTAATTGCTCTGTCAACTCAACTGTCGATACAATATTGCTTTATTATTGAGTCCTATTTTGCTATTTTGCTAGTCAGCCTGATATAGTTGATAATAATCATATTGTATGGCTTTGATTTCGAGTGGTACTATATAAATATTGCTCTCGCTATGACAATTTGTCTGGTCTTCGACTCTTCCAATATTGTCATAGCTCGAGCAATAATGTATCCGACGCTCAAAGCCATCCAATATTAAATAAATATCTTATCATTGAAAATTTGTCGTCTCTACTTGATTAGCATGGCTACTAGCTAGATTAGTAAATAATAATATGTAATCTTCGCCTCTTTTTACTCAACATGGGTATCAAAATAGTTTATAATCATGATAACGTTTTGTCTTTCACAGGCTTAACATGTTCTTGATAAACAAAATTAGTGAGCTATTCAATAGTTTTGTATCTTTGGCAATTTTTATCTCTTCGGAATCACCATGGTACTCAAAAAGCTGATAATATCTTGTTTATCATTGCCAACATTCCCAGTCTTTGCCTCTTTTTAATCAGCATGGGAACAAATAAGCACGGTAACTGATAAAGTTGATAATATGATATCTTTGGTATTTGTTTTTTCTTCTTGCTTTTCGTAGGTACTCAAATAGTAAATAATATCACATGTTTGGCATTTGTTATTACTTCGTGATCGTTGTAGGTGCGCTAATAGTAAATAGTATATACCTCACTTTAGAAATCCAGCCATCTGATTGGTCGAAATTGGAGTAATTATTTGCTTTACATTCCACATCGGACACATGTCACTTCTTCCGTCATTTTAGAGCAACAAAATCATCAATTAACAGCTAGCACCATTCACCCTCATTTCTTCAGTCGAAAGCATTTCAAACGTAGGCGTTTTAAATTCCGCGGTAGCCATTTTCACGAGTAAAAGTAAAACGATGAAATCTCAATGGTTACGATCGCAAAACATGATCGCCAATGACCGGTCATTACCATAGGATAATGACCGGTAGTTATCCAAATTTCGCGTTTGCCAAAATAAATGCATGGTCACGTGTACACTTTCAACCAATCATTTGATTAGGATCCACGTCATCATTTTATGATAAATAATATCATATCTTTGGCATTTGGTATACTTTCTTGACCAGTATGGGTACTCAACTAATAAATAATATCCTGTCTTTGGAAATATTCATCCCTTTGTGATCATCATGGGTACTCAAATAGTAAACAACTAAATGCACTGAGAGACTCTAGTTGAAATTATGGATCGATGTGGCAGGAATAGCACTTACTTCCCAGAGACGTTGCCCCGAAGAAAGTAGTGCTATTTCTGTCGCCGAGGAATCCATAATTTCCCTAGTGGCTTGAAATAGTGCATGATATATTTTGTTTTATATTTTTCAAACCAAATTGTAAATCTTTATACAACTTTATTTTTTTTTAAATTAATTCAATGTTTTTTTCTCTCTTTTTTTTTTGGGGGGGGGGAATCGGGAGTGCAGGATTTAAAACAAATATACCCTGCCTTTTTTCGAGAAAAAAACTTGTTAAAACTATGGGCCTCGGTGACTCTAATTGTACTATTTGCTTCGGGGCTGCGCCCATCAGTAAATAGTCCTATTGGAGCCACCCCTTGCCCACAGTTTCAACTAGAACCTCTCCATTCATCAAGTAACAACAAAGTGATTGCGTTTGATAGAAAGAACCCGTTCAACGTCATAACAACGTTTAAACATCTTCTTAAAATAATTCAAAGATAGCCGTTCCCTTTTGTATTTCACAGAGAATATATAGTGTTTTGCATATAAATTGACAAAATTAAAGATAGATTGAGTACCATCTGGGAAACCAAACAAAACTCTTATTCTTGAAAATCTTCACCTCATCTTGATTGAAAGAAGTTAGTTCATGTATTATCGTGATAATCATCGCCTATCCTTTTCGACGGTCATCTCTTCTTGAAAAGCAAGGGTACTAATACAGTCAGGAAGATGGCTATCTCCAAACATATCCCTGCTACCAACCACCATGTGACGTCATAATGCGATGATATGTGTGCGATTGCTCCTAGGATACGAGATAAAAACGGTAAATTGGAATCATTTTAACAATAAATATTACATAACTAATAAGGCTCTTTGTAAGCCATTAGTCCGAGCAATATTATTCTTTAAATTCATATTATGATAGATGCTTGGCCTGAATGTCAAGTAATAGCATTACTCTAACAAAACAATGTGAACAAAGGAATGTGGGGAGTTTGCGAAATTTGGTTTGTGAATCACACTATTCTATGTTTATTATCGTTGTTTATCATAATGATCACTTTCAACTTCTTCCCCTGAACTATGGAACACACTTCATCCTCACCTCTGAAATGAGAACTCCTACTCACAACTCAAATCTCATTTAACTACGTTTCTGTTTCCAAAATATGCTTGTTTAATTATGTTTTACTCGGTACTACCTTTTTACAACTTGTATTACAATAATGTTGTATTAGCTATTAACAGTTTCTTAAATGTTTCAATCGATACCTGTATATTGGGCGGATGTAACCTGGCTTTTAAGTTGGAAATGATGATTTAATTTTATTATCGCCAAAACATTTCCTGAAGTATGTAACAAATTATGTGTATTTTGCTTTCTTTTCTTGAATTACGTTTAGATGCATGGCTACAATAATATCAATTTCTCACAACTGCGCCATTTTGACAATTTTGACAGGCATGTGGCACATTACAAAATTTCGATATTAATGATACACGACGTGTTTGTTTGTTTATTATTTTCTTATGTGTTTGTTTAAAGTACAACATTTACTTTCAAACCAACATACCTGAATAAGAGGTCCCAAGTAGAATCCCAATACCGAAACAGAAAAGTCCAAGGGCAAATACAATATCCTTCTTGCCAGTAGACGCCCTCTCCCGGGCTGCAAGAGTCCCCAATATTGCTCTCCCTCCTATAGTTCCTGCTCTGATAAATGACGACACAATGATGACGTAGAGGGATGAAAGAAACACGTCCAACAATAATGAAGCTATATCAAGGAGAGTGCATATAAGGTATATGGTGACTGGACTAAAGCGGTTGTCACAGAGAAGACCGACAAGGATCCTGCCACTCACACTGCCAACAGCTGTAGAGAGAGTAAGAAGTAGGATCTCTTCTACTGCTAACCCTTTCTCCAAAGCGTGAGGGATGATGAGGTTGTGCCATCCACAGTACCCAAAGAAACCAATATCATCGCTAAGAAGAAGAAATTGAATGCTGGATCGATGTAAAAATCCGACGCGCGTAAACTGGCCCATAGCGTGGTGAAGAAACCGTTAGATAGCTCACTGTTGTCCTCACGTAGGTCAGTCGAGGATTCTGAATGACTCATCAATGGATAAGATTCCCTGTGTGAGATATGGTTCGGATCGCTGTCCGAGTCCGTGTCGTCTTCTGTTCTATATCCACCACGGTAGCGTGTCGTAGAGGATCCGGTTGGTATATCGTACGAATGTCTTTCTGAAACCTCCTCGTCTTCTGAGCTGCAACGGTCTTTACCCGTCCCCTTGGATGTTGTACCATATCTCACCGCTAGGGCACAAGGTATGATGTTGGCCATGAGTGCACCTACGATAAGAATTGCACCTCTCCAACCGTAACACTGATGGAGATATTCGGTCAGGACAGGCAAAGCCACCGTTCCTACTCCAGAACCACTCATTGAAATGCTGTAGATGAGGTTAAAATGTTCGCCGGCTAGATCATTCAGTGCGATAGAGGCCGAGGTCAGGAGGAAACAATTTCCGAGACCTACATCGAATAAGAATAAAAGGAATAAATTTAACAAAATTGAAATTGAAAATGAAATTAAGCATTTATCGTACATTCGGAAATTCGTTTTTCACTGGTCAAAAGTTTACATAACAGTTTACAAAAGAAGTAATCATAATCATAGACAATTTCGGTAACGGTAAAATACAGGCTTAACAACTTTTGTTGGGTAAGGTACACGAAATAAACCTGAAACTCCTTACCCCCTATATTATTAAAGAATTGCCATACTCTCGCAGCTTTCAAAAGAAAACAACTTTTTTAGTTTTTTCCTCGTATTGTTTTGCAATTAATTTAAGCTATATGTATTCTATTGTTCTTTTTCTTATTTGTTTGTTTGCAAGTATTTCCTGTTTTGTTTTTCCGTTTTTGTTTGTACGTATTTTCTATACCCCATGAAAAGGCGCTTTATACATGAAATGTTATTATAACAAACTATAATAGTAACAATTTCGTTCACCCAAGGAATCTTCATCACCATCAATGCTGTTCTTCTTGAGGGCCCTGTTATTAGTATTACCCCAGCAAATGAAGGACCCATGCACACCAGGATGGGGGAGTAGCACGTGTGGATTAATGCCTTGCCAACAAAACTTAGTACCGGATTGGGATTCAAACCCTCAACCCTTTGGCTGAGAGACAAGTGAATGAACCACTATACCACCACACTTCCACATACAGAATATATACAAATTATGATGTTGCCTCAATTATGCTTACCACTGACTGAGAGGAAGATTCCAATCGAAGCTTTGTTTGTAGCGAATGAAGTCAACATGACACCTATAGAGACCATGCAAGAACCACCAATCAGCAGGACACGACGTAAGGGGCGCTGTCGATATATGACTGCCACAAGTAGAGCTATAAGTGAAAAGATTGAGATTTGAAAAGCACGTGTTTTACCCTTTTTTAATCTATTTGTTACTGCATAGACCCAATATTGTCCGTTGTCAATTGGTCCAACAACAGAACAAAAACGATTGTTCGGGAAGTTTTGTGAGGCTTTTACGAAACATCCATTTCTAGAAACAGAATGTCATAACTAAGACTATGAACATCGTTTCCAATTGTTAACCCATTGAGTCCTGGAACCGGATGGTTCCTAAATTAAGCCAAAGGGAAATAAACAATTCAGTATTCTACGGGTTAAAATGGGTCTGAAGAAAAACTGTTACTTTTCAGGCATTGAAAACAAAAAGTGATATAGCTCTTCTTTATGACTTTTGAAAAACTATGATATTAAAGATTATGTTTGAAAAGTGTTGCCAAAATAGCCTTATAGAATAGTGCCCGAATATATCTTAAATCGTATATTTCGAAATTCATTTTTACCACGCTTAAACTTCTATAGTGCAGTACAGCAAACCTTCATGTACATGCGTTAATTTTCGTCTACTTATTCACTTTAAAAAAAAAAATCAAAAAAAAAAAATCTTCACCCTGACAGCAAATCAAAACTCCCTAAAACCTTCTGTGCTTTTCAATTTTTGTTCGCAAGATATGAAATTTGGTCCGGGCATCTCGTTGCCCAGAATTACCAAATGTTTCTAAAAGTTGAAAGGGGCGGTGAATCGAACAAGCGTGGTAAAATGATATTTCGAAATATACGGTTCAAGATATATTCGGACACCTCGCTCTCAATAGGATATTTGGACATATTGTGCAGGCGTATTACCCAAATATGGAGCTGTTTAGGCGCTTCGATGCCTAAATTCATCATCTTTTTAATTAACAATAATAGTCACACTTGTATATAGTGCTTAATACCTGTACAGTGTTTCGAAGCGATTTACATGGTAACTGTTTGGGAACGATCGAAGCGAGCGAGGAAGAAAGACACTTATATTAACAAATATGTTTAAAATTGCTATTTCCTTCTTACATTATAGTATAGCGGTTTCTAATGTTTGGTTTTCACTAAATCGACGTTATTCGAAAGTCATTTTTATATAGCTAAATTTCTCCAGCAGCACCCCGGTGGAATTATTCTGCCGCAAGATCTCCTCCACAGAGTATATTCTCGTAATAAATTGTGAGAACAGATAATTCCACAACATGTTTAAAGGCCCACTGCAATACTTGTAGCTACTTGCGCCCTCTATATAACAAACAATACCTAATCGGTAACCATTGGTCCCCCATGATCCTCTTTTTCTTATATTAACTGAGAGCTGAGTTGATGAGATAACCACCTGTCCAGTGACCTTGTAGGGCGGTCTAATCCCTCCTGTAAACTATGACAGATAAGCTTTAAGATTCGAGAAATGACATTTTCCTAAGTGAGAATGGTATAAGATCCAAGAATGCCGGAGTTGATGCTCCCAAAATGGCATAGCCAGGTATCCACGGTGAACTTACAACGACCATTGTAATGAATTTTCTTTTTCTTTTTTAAACGGCAATTGAAAAAATATGTGAATGCTTTAATGGTTGTAAAATTATAGCAGAAGAGATAGTGGATGTCAAATATATATGAAAATGAAAACAGATTATTGAAGATCCACAAGATGTTCTTTTCGATGTACCGAATTAGCGGGATGATGATGATGATGATGATTCACAACATTTGTATGGCGCCATAATCTGTTTCAAAAAACATTCAAAGGCGCGAGCTCCTCCAATAAAATTAGCATTTAAATGTCTGAAGGAAGATGTGAGTTTTGAGTGAAGCTTTGAAGTGGTCTAGGTTGTCAATTTCGTGAATAAATGATGGGAGGGAATTCCACAGGCGAGGAGTAATATAGGAAAATTCCGGGTCTCCATATCCCTTGAGATGAGTAATGGGCATCTGGAGAGCAAGGCCAGATGAGCGAAGTCCAGGGCGAAGATGACGCCGCTCGAATAAAGATGACACATTTCCTGGGTCTGACCAAGAATTGCCTTACATGTGAGCAGCAGGAACTTGAATTCAATTCTGCTCTTGACAAGAAGCCTACAGTATGTACTTCAGCCAGAACAGGAGAGATGTGATCATGCTTCCTCAAAATATAGATGAAAAATTCAAAAAATATTTGACAGCCTGCCAAGAACCTCCGCAAAATCATTGGACAAAGGTAACGCAGGATGGAATACTTTTTTAGCGAATAGAATTTGGCGTAACTAGTCACATTTTAATGATACACGGAATGAGAATTAAAACAATAACAACAACGAAGAAGAAGAAGAAGAAGAAGAAGAAGAAGAAGAAGAAAAAGAAGAAGAAGGAGGAGGAGAAGTAGAAGAAGAAGAAGAAGAAGAAGAAAAACAAAAAGAAGAAGGAGAAGGAGATCGAAGAAGAAGAAGAAAAAGAAGAAGAAGAAGAAGAAGAAGAATCAATACCATACCTGGTATGTGAGCAAATACATTGAAGAGGACCAGGGCGATTCGCAGTTCTGGATCCGTTGAAGGTGTTCCAATAATATGTCGGCTGATATCCTTCAGGTAGAGTCCCAGTGCCTTACTGGTTCCCATACCAGCACCAGCAACCAAGAACAGTAGAAGGGCTACTGGGAAGTGAGGTGACCCAAACACTTCGCAACAACCACCCATCTTATAACGTATAAATGGAGAGTAGGTGTCCAGACACTGTCTTAACAAACATAAAGACTTCTCTAGATCTTTTGTCGCCGGATTTAACGGACAAATATTCATAAAATAGCACTAACCATCATGAATATTTTTCCTTCTTAAAATTGTCCGACATTACTTAGAAGTTTTTATGAAATATTGCTTGTATACTTCTTCAAATTGCTGTTTTAAATCGACTTTCCGGGTACAACCTGTCCGAACACACAACGTCTGCATGGGTATATGCTACTATAACGACAATGGCGATTTTAGCGAATCTCTTACTTTGTGTCGATTTTCCAGCCTTTAGTACGTGCTCGACAGTCCAGCACGTACAAAAGGCCTGCTGATTCACATACTTATAACATTATACAAGGTACAATGATTCTATTATTGTTGTTCACTCGGAAAGTAAGGATTCTCGACCCGGCTAATTTTCTTCAAATACATGTGCCTCATTGACTGAAACTCCTCAACCAAAAGAACCTAGCGTAATAAGCGTAAAAGACAGTATTTTTTTTTAACTGGGTGCCGCAAGAGCTAGAGGTCATTTCGGTATACCCGCGAGAGAATTGTTATATAACCTTTGTGGTGGTGGTTATTTTACCTGACTGCTAAGAAAGCATAAATGCTTGTAAGTAAGCGATCAGACGGCCGACGGCTTTAGGTCCTCTCCGAGGGAACTGGTAATAAGGATTAATGCCTTAACAATAGGGCACTATCGCATCGACTTGGTTTCGAACCCGGGTCACCAGATTACGAGACCACTGCTCTACAAACTGAGCTATTGTATTAATAAATTGTAATTATTTTGGAATAACGTCGATTTCGATAACTATTTCATGAGGAAAAGCTTTCTCCCTCATTCGCTTTGCTCGATCGCAACCTTTAGCAACATTTTGAATTCAGCATGGTCCGTGATTTCAGGCAGCGAAGTTCCTAAAACCGGAACTCCATTTTTCAGCAACGAGGTGCCCGAATAGTCAGCCTTCTATTTGACAACGAGGTGCCTCAATATTTTATATCTTTTCTATCGAGATTACAATTTTACCATATGCTCGTTCGATTCACTCGCTCGCAACATTTAGAAACAGGACAATTCTGGCAATGATATGCTCGAATATATATATATGTTTCATCTTTATTCAGCGTAATAAACAAAGAAGTATAAACGTTTGAACCCAGGTCCATGACACAATGTAGTAAACAATACACAACTGTGTCACTGGCAGGGTATACAAGACAAGTACAACATGTACAACATAGGAAACATATAAAGCATATATAGAAAATAGTTAACAAAATAATGGAAAGAGAAATACGAAGTTGAGATTCCTCAACGGTAATAGGCAATCCGATACTATCTTTGGCGATCTTAAATACCAGTAGAAATGGTAGAAATGTAGCCATGAATAAGTGCATTATGCTTGATTTTGCGACAATGTAATAGTTTCTCTGGCATGTATTTTATTACCATGATTTTGATACTAATACTAGTTTGTTTTACGTATGTGGGTCATGATTATTACACCATCAGTTTGTGGCTTAATTGTTTTTACTATATACTCGCATAAATATTATTTACACCGAACGTAGAATGATATACACGGAGTATTTAAATACTAAATGGTTTCTTAAATATAAACATTTTTAGATTTGTTCAGTAAAGCGCTTTGAGAGGGCCTCCGGTCCTGAAAAGCGCTATATAAGAACGAGCTATTATTATTATTATAGTAAAATTGCATGGTATATAAGTTCATAACAGGTATTGCATCGTTGTAAACATCATTCGAGCATTGACGTATTATATTTCTACTTATTTTGAAGGAAAAAATAAATAAAAGAAAGTACATCTTCTTCGTACATGCACTGTTATTCCTCCTTGTAAGATTAATTGTATACAAAATACAATGACCCCCTTAAATAGGATGGGTTCTTCAACATGTTCAGGGGAGGGGGTGACTATTTAAGCACCTGGGAGTCAGGGACGGACATGTACCCCGTATCAGTCCACTGTGGTTCATTTCTGAGCTTGTAGATTCCGTAAGATGTAACTAAGGCTAGTCGGCTCAGCGTCTGACAGACATGCTTAATTTGTTTTGATACCATTATTAGTTTTAACATTCCTTTTAATGCTGCTCTATTTTCTGCGGAAATGTATCCCCTTGATCAAATTTCTACGCACCATAGTGTACATTTATAACCTGAGCGTCTCAGGTTATTAACCCTACCCCCCCCCCCCCCTTTGGATTTTTTTTTTTTTTTTTTTTTTTTTATTTACTAAAAAAAAAAAAAATATATTCCCATGACTGACCTAAAAAAGCTGACCTCCCCCCCCCAACGGAGCAAAATGTAAATTTTTCAAATTTAGAGACCCCCCCCCCCCCCCCCAAAAAAAAACAAAAAACAAAAACAAAAACAAAAACAAAACAAAACAAACAAAAAAACAAAAAAAACAAAAAAAAAGTGTCCTCTTACCCCATGCGCGATATCTATCAGGTCCAAATAGATATAATACTTTACCAAATATATATCAATTTGTAGGCGGTTTCTTGGCAAAATTTGTATTATCACGTATTAGTCAATAGTTGAAATAGTTGAAATAGTTGAAATATTTATTGGTTACTGAATCATCATAGGTTATAACAATAATGTGACAATGTCTTTACATGAGTATAAAACATAAGTTAAATTACATTTCCACATTCAGTAAATCATAGATACATACGCTCGAAGAGGTGATGATACAGAAGGGCTACAGCCTAAGCGTGACAGCTTGATACGCTTGCAGCCCAGAAACATTTAAAATCATAACGATTGTAAAGTAAAGTAAATTACAGAACATAATTGGGGGAAAATAACAAAAAATAAACAGTGACTTGCAACCAAAAAAAAAAATGGGATAGAGGGTGCATGGGAGGGGGATTTTCCTGCTATATCAAGGAAATGCTGACAAACGATATCATGTGTTAATTTAAGAGATTTGTCAATATTTGCTCAATAAAATTGATTTCACACTTTTCTTGAAAGTATATACTGACTTCAAGTTACGGATGTCAACGGACAGTGAGTTCCAAATATCCGGACCAGAATGTCTTATAGATTTCATAGCCATTGTTGTTTTAGGATTACATAAATGGTATTTATTTGATTGTCTGGTTGGGTATGTATGAATATTTCTATTCAAACAAAACATTGGTGGGAAGTGGGAAGGTAGGGAATCATTATGTAGACGGAACATGAACAGTGCTTTTTGTAAAAAGTTAATATCAGTTACTTTCAGAGTTTTTAACCTCGCGAATAGGGGATCAGTGTGATCGCGATATCCAGCATTGGTACACACACGAATCGCTTTCTTTTGTAAAAGTAGCATTTTATCAGTATATACTTTTGAGTCTGCCCACAGTATATTGCAATAAGACATGTAAGGAAGAATCAAGGAATTGTATAGCATATATAGAATATTCAAAAACATATTCAATACATATTCTTTCACATGATTGGTAATAGAGCTTCCATTTCATATTTTGAGAGGGGGCGTTTCCAAAACTGGTCTTTACCTTTAAACAATTGAGTTTTGGTGAGGTCGTGTACCGTCAAGAGAAATTTAACAGATGACAAAATGTATTTATCATATATCTTGAGCTTAAGTTCTGTTCTCACAAGAGTTGACTGTACATTTTCAAGCATTATTCGAACCTTGTCATGGATAAGGTCATACGCCCCCTGAGATGTACCTTTAAAGGTAATGTATGAACCATTTTTCTGGCGAATTTTTAACATTGACGAGAACATTTCCATTGATTGTAAAATTCACATCCTTTGGTTTTCCACCCGAGATAGACATCGATTTACATTTGCTAATTTTAAGCTGAACATTCATGCAAATTCATGCAATGGTATGCTCGAATATTCTCATATTATGTGCATCGAGGTGATACACATGATATTATTTTGCATTCATGTTTGCGGCAGCGAGGTGCCCGCACAATTGATTTTTCGTTTTATTTAGTGTCTTTGGAATTCAAACATCCCTTTAATAACATTCCTAAGCTTTTGTTTCAAAAAAATATTTGCATGATATGAAATTCATTTTTTAAGAAAATAATCAGATATATTGAAATTACCCAGGTCCTCTGCCAACAGAAGAGAAAACATTTCCTCCTTGAACGGCAAGGAGCAGGGTCACAAATACAATAACACACACTCATACAGTAACTACAGTAACAATTGTAATAACAAATACAGGAACGGGAGAAGAACGAACAAAACAAATGTCAATATACAGGATGATATTTTTAGCTAACGGGTATTATATCTTCCACTCGGGATGGATAATGATTTTAATCAACATAAATAAAACAGTAGCAACGGCAAAAGATATGGGAAAGGAAACAAGATCTACACGATCATGATATTATTTGCTATTCTTGTTTACTTAATCGGTCATCATCGACTTCGAAGTGCTACTTGCCCTCACAATTAGCATTTCCCTCACTCAGTGGCGGCAGAGCGTCTTCCAAAGATGGCACTTTCTGGAAGAAAAATAAGGGGCACCTCCAAAGGGAAACCTCAAAGCGAAAATGAACCATTCTTGACATTGATATCGACCCCCACATTGTGATAAACTATCAGGGATGATTTCAATATTCATTTCTCTCTGTACGTGGGCCAAGATACTGCTTAAGCATCATATTTTGCAGTTGGGTGTGGTGGTCTGAATATTTATATTCCGTGCGAGAGAAGCAAGAGTATAAAGAATTGTGAGGTCACAGTGCGAAAAATTACATCTTACAATGGAGGATCGGAAGCATATAGCGAGCGAGTTTTGTGAAAAAGTTGCTCCTAATCGTTTAAAAATAGGGGGAGAAAAAAAGGGGGCATGTGTCAAATTCAAAAAGAGGAATTGTCAGAGGCAGTAAAGGGCACTTATTAGAATATGGAACGAGCAACCCCCCCCCCCCTAAAGTCTGAAACATTGGAAGGTTGAAAATGTCAGTAATAGTTAAATAATTCCCCACACCAGACGGTTATGAAAAATTGATATAAAAGTTGTCTTTTTCACATGGGGCCTAAAATGAATTAGACAGAAATATCGTATTAATTTGTCATGGTTTATATAATCAGAGGCGGCTCTAGAGGGGGCAGGGGGTCCTATGATTTTTTAAGTGATAAAGAAAAAGAAGAAAGAAAAGAATGTGGAAAGAGAGGGCTGGGTCATGCAACTATATGATACCCCAACGAGACGTCTTCTTTCTCTCAAAATTTGATGAAACGTCAAATTTACTTCCGCGGGAGACGCAAATATTCCTCCCGCATCATGACCCCAACCCCCTCTTTGCGTGCTCATATTTCTCGCTGACAAGTCCCTTCATTTTACAAATGTGAACTTAATAGAGTCGATGACATTACTAAAGTCGTTTTCTTTATCTTAAAAATTGACGAAACTTTAAAGCACGGGAGAGGAAAACTCACCTTCATACATCCACCCTACGCCGCGTGCGTGCTTATTATTTACCTAATGGCTATATTTCTCGAAATCAAGATCCTTGATCAAACAATGCATGTAGCCACATAAGCCGATGAAGCTGTACTACGAGACGTCTTCTTTCTCTCAAAATTTGATGAATCGCCAAAGCTTTAGGAATTAAGCTCCACATAATAATTCCTCCCTGGTACGTTATGCTCATTAATCACCATGACTGACACTTTTTTTTGCAATCGAGTACCGTCAACATACAGAAGCCGGCATGGAATTAAATACCAAATTACTGCGATGTACGTCTTCCTCCTCTCAAAATATTGAATGAACGTCAGAGTTTCTGTGCTTCGCGCGGGAGGGGGAACTCGCCTCCCTACACGCACCCACATCCTACCCTGCTTTACCTGCACAATTATGGCTAACATATTATTTCACGCAATTATTCAAGTTTCTAGATTATCAAAACAAATCCGGCATTAAATTAGAGTCGGAAGTATACCATGAGACGTCTTATTTCTCTCAAAATGTAATGAAACTTGAAAGCTTCCGCGCTTCGTGAGGGAGTAGCTAGGAAGCTCTATATATCTATCACCTTTGCACTCACCCCCCCCCCCCCCACACACACACACACTTTATGTTTTCATCATGGCTATCAATTATTTCTCGCAATAATTCAGTTTCTTCGTCATACAGAAGCCCGGGCATCGAATTAGAGTCGGAAGTACTATGAGACGTACGTACATCTTAGTTTCTCTCAAAATTTGCTGAAACGTCAAAGCTTCCGCGCTTCGCGCCCGAAGGGAAATCCCCTCCCTGCACCCGATCTTAGGGTGGACACTACCGCCCCCTGAAATGAAATCCTGACTCTATACTCGGGTATCTAATTGCACCCCCCCCCACCCGTACCCCCCCCCCCCCCCCCCTCCCACGGCCGCTCGATCCCGGCCCTAACAAAATACCCTGCCGCGCGCCGCCCCTGTATATAGGCATAATGCCATGATTCATACATTATTTGCTATCACATAAGGTTTGAAAGGTTTAAGGTTCATTTTATTTCTTTCTTTCACAACATTTTAATAGATCTAGAACAAAAAACAGCATAGACTAAGTAAAAACAATTTAAGTGCAATTTTAAGTATATGTATAATGTTGTTTTATGTAAAGTAAATTATGAGCGACAACAATTATGTCCATAAGACAATACAAATTAGAGTGAATTGAATTGAATTGAAAGAAACCACACCTAGGTATCTCGTGTTTTCTATAAGTACACGTGTGTTTACATTTTACCCCGCCCACGTACGAAATTGACTCCGCCCATATCCGGAAGTTGCTTTCTGCATTATGCATTACGCTATACGGTAATGTTTATTAATAGCATGCTCTGCACGCGTACCGTAGACACACCTCCAGACTCCACCGAAAATAACCAAGATGTCGTAAATCGGGACACTTTTCGAAGATTATTGTCGTTCTGAAATCAATGCGATGCAATAAATTCAGACTACGTCAATGAACTTAGTCCTTCGCACTTTCTCATCATCCGATATTCATTGTACAGGGAAGCCAAGAATTTATCCAACGACAACGAGAACCTTGATTTCCATAGTGTAACTTAGACTCTAGGTCTACAAAAGTACAATACAGTACGGTACTGACTCCGAGCTCGAGCTTTGACTTGTATACATTACGTGCAGCACAGCTTAGCTCACACAGGTAGTACACTACGCGTACGTGTAGACGTGAATGCAGATAAATATTGACTGAATGAGAATGGCATAATTCGTTTGTAAGTAGAGGTAAGTATGTGCCGTCGTTAATCCACATGTAAAAAAAAATCACTATTATAATTTCTTGTCAAGCCTCAAGCCAGCCAGGGGCAATCTCCTTAATTTCATGCCGTTTGATTGATTAGTTTCAATCGGATTATCATTCAAGCCCTCGAGGTCTAGATCTAGTCAAGAATCTGTCTGCTTGGAGTCTGAACATTGGAGGAGTGAGTTTTTAACATTTGGTATTGACGCTCTTTTTTGGATCGGTGCAGAAGCCAGACTTACAATTGGACACACCGTCAAACTGACTTCAGATTGAGCTGAGCTGACTCCAAACCGGGCCCAGCGATTCTTGGCTATCAATATCATCATATTCATTAAAACATTACCACCAAGCCCTTAGGCTATTCTTGGTCGTATAGAAGACGTAATCAGGTCATGTAATATACATGTATTTGTTTCATCTGTCGACGTTGGCGGTCTAATGACAATAATGTGTCCCTTCTCGTTGTGACAAAGGTAGTAGAAGTCTACTAGTCTCAGCTCAGCTGAGTCAGCTCAGCGACAAATTATCCCCTGAACAAAATTCATGTAAACAGACTTCTCAGATAAAGTTTGAGTTCTCATTTTCAAAGGTGAAGACATGTCATCTGGCCATGGGTTACAGAAATGACCAACTGGTAAACTGTGACAAAAAAATCCGCAGCGTTTTTTGTTTACGAAGGGCGATATTTAATTTGATGACATCATTTGTGGACAACTCCATGCTTTCTGACCATGAAATTTCACAATTATTTTGTTTTCTTTGTATTCAGTCGTGTTCATGATCCGACTTGTTAAAATGTGAAGTACACCGGGTAGAATATCAATCTGCATTTTATATTTTGCTTTCAGGGGAGTAGATTATCTAAATCACAAGAAAGAAGGACAAACATGAAATTTGAAGTACAAAAGGCATGGAGAGTTGTCCACTAATGATGCAATTAAATATCGCCCTCCGGTGACAAGTTATTTCAAAAAGTTTGTATTCCTTGCTTGATTTGGTTCAAATTTTTTACTGATCTTATTCAAATCTGTTATACTTTACAATAAAGTCAACTTCGTATGAAGGTTTTGGTTCCCTTTAATTTCCTCTTTGCCATATATATGCAAACATGCAATTGAATGTGAGAGTGTGAAGCAGATGCACTTTGGCCAAATGATCGATGAACAGGCCTTATCCTTCAAGCATCTCTGGATTGAAGTAATTAAAGTAACAAATTAATCTTTATTTTTATCAATTAGAAAATCCTCCTGAGTCTTATCACCATGGCAACAGAGGAGGAGTTATTGTGCAGCTTTGATGAGCTTGAGAATGTCATGAAGAAAGGTTCCATCGTCATCGCGTTACCACAGAGACAAATCGATGAAGTTTATCCCAACGTGTACGTCGGGGGAGAGTAAGTTATATTTCTCATCCTACAAATTAATTGTAGAATTCTGAATAAAGGATAGTTACCAATCACTTAAAGCGACTGGGTAACATTGCCTCAGATTCTGAAACAAAATCCTGGATTTAGCTCATTCTGCAATCATAATTATAAACCTTTAGGCCAGTCAGGAATCCCATGACTTTTACAAGACAATTGCCTATCTGATTATCAAGATATTTATAATTGGAAATCGAAACTTCATGATCATTTTGAAGCGCGATTTATTTAGGGATTCAATATTACACCATATCACAGACACTGATAACATATAGGGCCATGCATCTCAGATTTAATATTGTTAAATGATGCCTTTAAACAAACTAATTTGTGCACACAGCTAGTATATATATATATGTAGGTTTACTATCGGCTTGAATAATCTGGATTTATTTAGCGTTTAAATACCGTCTCTAAGCACTTTACGGTTATAATACTGGGTTCTTGTATAGCGCTCATATCTGTCAGACTTGACACTCCTGGCACTCCCGATTATTACCCTTGCTTTAGCATGGTTGCCATTACGGGGCTCTAGCATTTCAAGGAATTAATTACTGCTAGGTACCCATTTTACATCACCTGGGTTGAGTGTGGCAAATGTAGATTAATCTCTTGCCAAAGGACATTAGTGCTGCAAGGGGGGGGGGGGGGGGGGGGGCTCTTTACATTTCAAGTCAAGTGCTTAAACCACTCAATTTACAAAACACTACCGGTACTCTGAGAAACTGTATTCCATTTGATGGGCTAACAGTTAAAGGTAAAGACCAGTTATGGTCATGCGATTGTATTGTGAAAGAAACGTTGTGGAATCGATCAGAAAAGGTTGATCATCTAGCATCTGCAAGGTTCTGGAATCATCAAAATGATAAGAAATATGGCCCATTCTTCGTAAAGTTACAAGCACTATACACAGAAAGATGTATATGGGACTATTCTATATCTCTCACAGTCTATGAGAGAAACAAATTTACCAAATATATGAATTTTTAGGCGGTTTCCCGGCAAATTTTTTATCATGTATTAGTCAAAACATATTCTTTCACATGATTGGTAATGAGAGCTTCCATTTCATTTTTTGAAATTGGGGCGTTTCCAATACTGGTCTTTACCTTTAAGAAGGATTTATAAAGGGAATAATCGAAAACGTGAATCCAGGGCCCTGTTTCATATACTAATTATCAAATCATTGACCTTTGACCCACAGACAGTCCTGTGATGTACATGTATCTACTCAACCATGACACCTCTACATACCCCAAAGCTTTCGTCCCCATTTCTCTCCTCGGTATAGAGTGGCAAATGTAGATTAATGAATTTACAAAGGACAATACTGGGGATTGAACCTTTACTTTTCAAGTCAAGTGCTTAAACCACTCAACTACAAAATGTCTACACTCAAAACTGTATCTCATGCTAGGAGTCCACTGGGCTTCGCGCCAAATGCCACCGCAACATTTTGGAGCAAGCCGGGGGGGTGGCACCTAGTTTATTCCACTTGGCAACACATGCCGAGCGGACATTAATTCGGCGCCACAGTGAGCCACTACGCGCCAATTACATAATCTTTGGCGCAAACTGACACCAACTGGCGCTGGCCCAGTGGACTCCTAGCATTACATTTTATGAAACCAAGGCCCTGTTTCATACCTTCGTTATCAATAACTGTCATAACTGAAATAGTGGAATTTGATTGGCTGAGAACAAATTTGACATAGAAAGTTTGCAAGTTACAATGTATATGTAGAGTTAACTCATTTTAATTTAGAACTAATCAATTATTTTGTTAATTGTTTTGATCAGATCGTCAGCGAAAGACAAGCAAAGGCTGAAAACGTTAGGGATCACTCATGTTCTTAACTGCGCTCATGGTAGGAAGTTCTTTCATGTGGATACCGATCAGAAGTTCTATGATGTAAGTATACCAAATTGTCAACACCATGCAATAAATCAACATCTATAAAGTTGTTATAATGTTTATTATGATGATGGGTCATAATATATATCTCTTAAACTTTTTCAGGGGAACAAGGCCACCACAGGCTTCTCCTTGTTCTCCTATTTCATTTAAAGTTATTGTATAAACTGAACATTCTCTGCCTAAGTATACACTGTAGTTTTATGTTAAATTTACTTTTGCTGTGTTCTTTAATTTATTAAAAAATTAAATGAATGAACAAAGGAACGAACACTAATTAATTATTTATATGCCACACAGATAATCTTTTTGTGCCACATTGCATTTTTCATGGGATAGATAAACCAAAGGCTTCAATATTATTTTACTGCTTTCAGTTTAATGATGCCTGTGTTAAAGGGTTGTCATGGAGCTAATCAAGACTGGAAATAGTAGAAGCAGTTTTATTAAATTCTCTGGTTTTACTGGTTTCAACAATGACAAAAATATTCTTTGAAGAAGTACAAAATCCTCCTCTGAATTTTATTTAAAAGTGTGTTGAATATTATATTTCTTTAAAGGCAATTTGTTTATAATTACAATGAATTACTTTTTATTAATGTACACTTTTAGTGTTGCTTCAAAAGAGTGTGGTACTGTGTATTTCAAAGATGCTTTGATTCTCAAGACTTTCTGTATTTCTTCCTTCCGTGCAGGAATTGAAGATCAAGTTCCTAGGTCTGGGCGTATCAGACTTCCCACAGTCGAACATCAAACAACATTTTGATACAGCTTTCAAGTTTATGGATGAGGCGTTACAACATGAAAACGGTGAGCAAAGATGAAGGTGTTTAAAGTTCGGTGTTGTAGTTTTTGCAAGCTAATAAAGCTACACTGTCCTACTTGTAGCTACTTGTCTAATCGGTGACCATTGGTCCCCCATGATCCTCTTTCTCTTAAAATGTTAATTGAGAGCTGAGTTGATGAGATAGCCACCTGTCCAGTGACCTTGCGGTGTGGTCTAATCCCTCCTATAAACTATAGTACAGATAAGCTTTAAAAAAGAATTTGAGTACTGAGCAATGCAAGCTGATCCCATACTTGCCAAGGCAGCAATTATTGCAGGCATTCTTTTTTATCTGGGTAGGGTTGCAGTTAGGTTGTACTTTATATGTTCATTTCATGATTATTAGGTTAGGTATAGACTTGGTTCCAGACTTAAAATTCAGAATTTGGTTAGTGTATGAAATTACCGCAGAACAATAGACCAATTTACTAACATATTCAGAATTAAACAAAGGTTTTTTTAGACAGCCTAAAAGCTTGCCTATAATGCCTCAGTCACACCTTTGCAGGCCACCAAGGCCATGGCCATGGATACCCTTTTGATTGGCCTCAATGCCCCTCTCACTGGCCTTGGAGATTTGTTGTGCCCTTTCCAATACTTCCTATTAGTGTGCTGTAATATAGAAATGTGCCCTCCAGAAAAGTGGCCTTGTCCTAAAAATATTGAAATTTAAGGCCTGCCTTCGCGTATTTGGCTTGTTTTAACATTTATTCGTATTTCTTGATGCGTATCAAGAAATTATTTTCTGTTGTGAAGCAATGGTGATTCTTGATATCAAGAATTTGATTTCAATAATTAAATTCTTGATATCAAGAAATAGGAATAAATTTTAAAACAGCTTGCCATAAATATGCAGCAATACACAAGCCAAATACGCAAAGGGGTGACTGAGGCATCAGGTTTGCTTGACATAGCATCAAGTAACATAAGTAGACTGGATTCTGAGTATTGTAGTTCATTCATTAATAACAGGTTTGTGGAATATCTAGGTCTCCAGGAACGAAAGATCCATAAATTTGAATATGCTATATGCTAATAAACAGGTCTATTACTGTCTATCGTCCCCTTCTCTCTCTCGTCTCCCCCTTCTCTTTCTCTTTCTCTCTTTCCCCTTCTCTCTCTCTTTCGATCTCTTCCCCCTCTCTTTCTCTTTCGATCTCTTCCCCCTCTCTCTCTCTCTTTCGATCTCTTCCCCCTCTCTCTCTCTTTCGATCTCTTCCCCCTCTCTCTCTCTTTCTCTCTTTCCCCTTCTCTCTCTCTTTCAATCTCTTCCCCCTCTCATTCTCTTTCGATCTCTTCCCCCTCTCTCTCTCTTTCGATCTCTTCCCCCTCTCTCTCTCTTTCGATCTCTTCCCCCTCTCTCTCTCTTTCTCTCTTTCCCCTTCTCTCTCTCTTTCGATCTCTTCCCCCTCTCTCTCTCTCTTTCGATCTCTTCCCCCTCTCTCTCCATGTTCCCCCTTCTCTTTCTCTCTCTCTCTCTCTCTCTCCCTCCCCCCTCTTTTCCTTCTCTCTCTCTCTCTCTCTCTCTCCCTCCCTCCCGCTCTATCCCTTCTCTCTCTCTCTCTCTCTCCCTCCCTCCCCCTCTTTCCCTTCTCTCTCTCTCTTTATCTTTCTCTTTCTCTCTCTCTTTCTCTCTTTCCATGCCTTTTTTCGCTGTGCTCAGAAACAGTGTATTACATGTATTATATGTGAATGTTAAGTATCTCTTTATATCTTATCTCTTAGACAGGTAAAGTGTTAGTTCAGAAACGGTGTACCGTTATTACATATTAGTGATGTATCTCTCCATGTCTCATCTCTTAACAGGTAAGGTGTTAGTCCATTGTGTCCAAGGATACAGCCGATCAGCTACGATAGCCATAGCCTACCTCATGGTCAGCCGGAACATGACCGCTCAGCAAGCAGCTACGACGGTCAGGGAGAAGAGAGAGATTGGACCCAACAAAGGATTCTTGCAGCAGCTTTGTGATCTCAATGAAGAGTTACATAGAAAGAAAGAGGAGGGTGAAACCAAAGTAGCATTGTGATGTCATTGAACATCTACGGAGAAAGGAGCAGCTTTGTGATCTTCATGGAGATCTGCAAGACAGACTGTGAGGGAGGGAGTGAGAGAGAGACAGAGAGAGACAGAGAGAGGGAGGGGGGGGGGGAGAGAATGTGTCTTGTGATCTAAGTGAAGATGTGCAAAGAAGGAAACAGCTTTGTGATCTCAGCAAAGAACTAGACGCAAAGGAACAAACAGATTAAATCACCAATATTGGTCTGTCTATACCAACAGTACAATGTAGGAAAACAAAATTGAAGTTTGAAACTGACAGACTTTAATTTGAACTTATAGTATTGCGCTACTAAGTGGGTTTAATTAGCTTTTGATGTGACGGTGTCACGTATATATGTGACAAACAGACTAGATATTTTAAATCACACATTACTCCACTAAGAAATATGTATATTATGATCAGTACGAATCTAGCATTATAAAGTCAATATTAATTACGCCTGTTATATATGGTAAAGGTGTCGTGGTCAAGTGGATATATCACCGGACTGTGGATCACAAGGTCCATGGTTCAATTCCCGGCGCTGCACTCATGTCCATTTGCAAGACATTAATCTACATTTGCCACACTCGACCCAGGTGAGGTAAATGGGTACCTGGTAGGATTATTCCTTGAAATACACTGTGCACTGATTACGGCTGCCAGAGCTAAAGCTAAGTAATAATTTCTGAAGCTCTTTGGAAGCGCATGAGGACGTTATATAATGTAATATGCGCTATACAAGAACTGAATATTATTATGATACATGTACCATATTTCAAGTCTTAAGAAATTTCAAGGAACAAGTTCTTGAGAAACTTGAAGACTTTCTTCAGCATCTTTTCTCACTTTAGCTTTATACACAGAAACAAGTGAGGAGCAGGCACATGTTTCAGTTTGTTTTAAAAGGTTAATTTATAAAATGATAAATATTTTGTAAATCACTTCATTCCTCTCTCGTGGACTCTCGTAACGAATGACCAAAGTAAGTTTGAGTTTAACTTGTTTGCCTGGTAGATATGCACACACACATAAAGCACCATTTGACGAAATACATTGCCTATATCTTTGAGCCTGTGATGATATTACCGGTTAATGTTCTCTTATCCCAGAATATTTTTTTTCTTTAAAAGCCAGGAGGGCATTCATCTGCATGTGTTGAAGTGAGATCCAACCTAAACAAACAACTACTCTAAGAGGAAGCAGAAAATCAGGCAAGCAGATTGGTAAAATTTTGAATTATATCTGACAAAAAATAAAAAAGTTATGAACTTTTGAAGGTTTTAATCACTATAGGAGGATCATTTCTTTTAGAGGACCTGTAATAATACAATATCTGTAATATATTTTGAACTTTGATGAGAAGGCACTTAGGAGAAATTTGTGATAATTTTGTAAAGGACAAACTACCTCACAATTCTCTGACCAAATAAACCAATGTGAGATTTCCCATGTATTTTGATAGTGATCTCATATTTCAAACATTCATATTTTTCCTTATTATTGGTCTGATTTATTTTGAACTTTCGCCATTCTGTTTCTCATTTTTTTCCGCTTCCACCCCAATGAATTTATTACAAAGATTGGATTGCCCCGATATAACACCCATCTATGGAGTAGATGTTATTCTCAAGGAAAATGCTAAAATAGGTGCATTATTTTGTATTAAGTGTTTTACTAGTGTCACTTACATTTATTGTAGACTGTTTAGAACTGTTTACATGTACATGTATTAGAAGTTTTTAAGGGATAAGGACTCGCACGTTTGTCGGATTCAAAAGGGCGTTATTTTACACAGAGGTGCATCATTTACGTGTTTTGCACAATATAGAGAATTATTTTATTTTTTTAAAAATATGTGAGGTTTTATCGATATGGATTTTTAATGGATGAGGATGATTTTTCATCTGTATGGAGCAAGAACAGTGCTATCAAATCATTCAACTGGTACCCAGAGTAGTGGTAAATGGCTGTTTGGTCTACAACCAGTTTGTATGCTACCCAATTAGTCTATTCCCATATGGTCTACATGCAGCCGTCTACTACCCGCATTGTCTGATTTGATGATTATTAGACCTCATGGATAGTAGACAGAATGGGCATTGGGCAAACTGGGAACTAGACCAAATGAGCAATAGACCAAATGGATATAGGCCAAATGGACATTGGACCAAGTGAATATTAGCCTAAATGTTCATAAGACCAATTGATAAATAGACAAAATGATTATTAGATCATGTGGATAGTAGACGGGCCTGAAGTAGACCATATGGAAATATATACCACTTGGGTAGTAGACGAAATAGACCAAATGGCTACTGGCTCTTAACACATGCAATCTAGAATACACTGTAGTCATTGTACAGAGAAACCTGTCTATAAAGACCATCCAAGGGTGACAAGAAAAGTGGTATAGACAGAAGGTCTTTATGTACAGGTTCCTTTAGTACATGTTTCAATGAGAAACCATTTTCAAGGGAAACAACAAATGTGGTCGTTGTAGACAGGTGGTCTTTCTACACAGGTGGTCAGTAAATCAGATTTCATTGTATATATGTAGAGTAAGTTGGACTTTAAATCAGGTATTGGACTGAAGTACTTACATGGCTGTCTCTAATTTCTCAAGGCTTGAAGTAAAAAAGAATATTTTTATACAGAATTATGTATATGTTTGCAATTAAGATATAATGGTATTTATGAATTTGATCTTTCATAATATAGGATATATATTTAGTCGAAATTGAAACTTTTGTCTTTTGACAAGACATTTTATTTGATGTTGTCTCTCACCACCCAGGTTTATATACATGGTATGTATATATAGAAGTATATACAGTGGAAAGACGTTATAACAAGGACATCAGGGCCAGAGAAATAACTTTGCTTTATTAGATATTCTTGTTATATCAGGGTAAATAAAAGAAGATGATATGAAGAGCAGATACCAGTAGAATTACCTTGTTACATCAAGTATCTTGCAGAGCTCTTTATTTCCAGTTTCCACCGTCTTAGGATATTACATATTTTGTGTAGTTCCATACCTTAGTATGTGTAGGAGGTCAGGAGCTAGAGCAAGCAATAGGGACTTTGAGATGGACTTTACGTGTGCGTCTTTTTAAGGCACTGGCAGTGCCTTAAAAGGACATCGCAATACCTGAAAAGGACGTCACACGTAGCAGTCCACTATGTCGACGTGCAAATCTAAAAGTCCCTATTGTGTCAGGGAAACAACCGTTGATTTTTTTCTAGGTACTATGTTGCCGATATGCTATATTTCATGTACTCAGTTGATAGTGATTATCGCTTTTTATACTCTTTTTTTTATCATATGTGATGATTGTAATTGTTTGTAACTATTTCCATTATTATGTAGTGACTGGAGTGTAATATAATTTATTATAAGTTTAATGCAATTATAAGTTATGGATGGGAGGGGAGTGGCAATAACCATGCCGTGCAACTTGATCCCCCTTTAAAACTGAATGTGCTGTACCGTACAGATCGATGCCCCCATGTTATATGTTAACCCAGACAGCACCTGTTTGAAAGGATTGATTAAGTAATGTTTTAGAGGAGAATTACGATATTTGTGAAATTATTAGTGTGTGGACCACATTAAAGACAATTATGGAAGATTTGTGTGTTTTTCCCCTTCTTCTCTATTGTCTATTGTCATTGTCCAATGGTCCCTAAATGTCATATCATGACAAATGGGCCTGACATAAGAACTTTGTAGAATATTAGCTTTTGAGTCACATTATCCTACATGTTGGCCTACTTTCTATCCCTCTCTCTCCCCCTACATTATATCACTATCCCTCTCTCTCCCCTACTTTCTATCCCTCTCTCTCCCCCTACATTATATCACTATCCCTCTCTCTCCCCTACTTTCTATCCCTCTCTCTCCCCCTACATTCTATCACTATCCCTCTCTCTCCCCTACTTTCTATCCCTCTCTCTCCCCCTACATTCTATCACTATCCCTCTCTCTCCCCTACTTTCTATTCCTCTCTCTCCCCCTACATTATATCACTATCCCTCTCTCTCCCCTACTTTCTATTCCTCTCTCTCCCCTACTTTCTATCCCTCTCTTTCCCCCTACATTATATCACTATCCCTCTCTCTCCCCTACTTTCTATTCCTCTCTCTCCCCCTACTCTCTATCACTATCCCTCTCTCTCCCCTACTTTCTATCCCTCTCTTTCCCCCTACATTATATCACTATCCCTCTCTCTCCCCTACTTTCTATTCCTCTCTCTCCCCCTACTTTCTATCACTATCCCTCTCTCTCCCCTACTTTCTATTCCTCTCTTTCCCCTACATTCTATCCCTCTCTCTCTCTCCCCCTACATTCTATCCCTCTCTCTCCCCCTACATTATATCACTATCCCTCTCTCTCCCCTACTTTCTATCCCTCTCTCTCCCCCTACATTATATCACTATCCCTCTCTCTCCCCTACTTTCTATCCCTCTCTTTCCCCTACATTCTATCCCTCTCTCTCCCCCTACATTATATCACTATCCCTCTCTCTCCCCTACTTTCTATCCCTCTCTTTCCCCCTACATTCTATCCCTCTCTCTCCCCTACTTTCTATCCCTCTCTCTCCCCCTACATTATATCACTATCCCTCTCTCTCCCCTACTTTCTATCCCTCTCTTTCCCCCTACATTCTATCCCTCTCTCTCCCCCTACATTATATCACTATCCCTCTCTCTCCCCTACTTTCTATCACTATCCCCCTCTCTCCCCTACTTTCTATTCCTCTCTTTCCCCCTACATTCTATCCCTCTCTCTCCCCCTACATTCTATCCCTCTCTCTCCCCCTACATTATATCACTATCCCTCTCTCTCCCCTACTTTCTATCCCTCTCTCTCCCCTACATTATATCACTATCCCTCTCTCTCCCCTACTTTCTATTCCTCTCTTTCCCCCTACATTCTATCCCTCTCTCTCTCCCTACATTATATCACTATCCCTCTCTCTCCCCTACTTTCTATCCCTCTCTCTCCCCTACATTATATCACTATCCCTCTCTCTCCCCTACTTTCTATTCCTCTCTTTCCCCCTACATTCTATCCCTCTCTCTCTCCCTACATTATATCACTATCCCTCTCTCTCCCCTACTTTCTATTCCTCTCTTTCCCCCTACATTCTATCCCTCTCTCTCCCCCTACATTATATCACTATCCCTCTCTCTCCCCTACTTTCTATCCCTCTCTTTCCCCTACATTCTATCCCTCTCTCTCCCCCTACATTATATCACTATCCCTCTCTCTCCCCTACTTTCTATCACTATCCCCCTCTCTCCCCTACTTTGCATTCCTCTCTTTCCCCCTACATTCTATCCCTCTCTCTCCCCCTACATTCTATCCCTCTCTCTCCCCCTACATTATATCACTATCCCTCTCTCTCCCCTACTTTCTATCCCTCTCTCTCCCCTACTTTCTATCCCTCTCTCTCCCCTACTTTCTATCCCTCTCTCTCCCCCTACATTCTATCACTATCCCTCTCTCTCCCCTACTTTCTATCCCTCTCTCTCCCCCTACATTCTATCACTATCCCTCTCTCTCCCCTACTTTCTATTCCTCTCTCTCCCCCTACATTATATCACTATCCCTCTCTCTCCCCTACTTTCTATTCCTCTCTCTCCCCTACTTTCTATCCCTCTCTTTCCCCTACATTATATCACTATCCCTCTCTCTCCCCTACTTTCTATTCCTCTCTCTCCCCCTACTCTCTATCACTATCCCTCTCTCTCCCCTACTTTCTATCCCTCTCTTTCCCCCTACATTATATCACTATCCCTCTCTCTCCCCTACTTTCTATTCCTCTCTCTCCCCCTACTTTCTATCACTATCCCTCTCTCTCCCCTACTTTCTATTCCTCTCTTTCCCCCTACATTCTATCCCTCTCTCTCCCCTACATTCTATCCCTCTCTCTCCCCCTACATTATATCACTATCCCTCTCTCTCCCCTACTTTCTATCCCTCTCTCTCCCCTACTTTCTATCCCTCTCTCTCCCCTACTTTCTATCCCTCTCTCTCCCCCTACATTATATCACTATCCCTCTCTCTCCCCTACTTTCTATCCCTCTCTTTCCCCCTACATTCTATCCCTCTCTCTCCCCCTACATTATATCACTATCCCTCTCTCTCCCCTACTTTCTATCCCTCTCTTTCCCCCTACATTCTATCCCTCTCTCTCCCCTACTTTCTATCCCTCTCTCCCCCTACATTATATCACTATCCCTCTCTCTCCCCTACTTTCTATCCCTCTCTTTCCCCTACATTCTATCCCTCTCTCTCCCCCTACATTATATCCCTCTCTCTCCCCTACATTCTATCCCTCTCTCTCCCCCTACATTATATCACTATCCCTCTCTCTCCCCTACTTTCTATCCCTCTCTTTCCCCTACATTCTATCCCTCTCTTTCCCCCTACATTATATCACTATCCCTCTCTCTCCCCTACTTTCTATCCCTCTCTTTCCCCCTACATTCTATCCCTCTCTCTCCCCTACATTCTATCCTCTCTCTCCCCCTACATTATATCACTATCCCTCTCTCTCCCCTACTTTCTATCCCTCTCTCTCCCTACTTTCTATCCCTCTCTCTCCCCCTACATTATATCACTATCCCTCTCTCTCCCCTACTTTCTATCCCTCTCTCTCTCCCTACATTATATCACTATCCCTCTCTTTCCCCCTACATTCTATCCCTCTCTCTCCCCTATTTTCTATCCCTCTCTCTCTCCCTACATTATATCACTATCCCTCTCTTTCCCCCTACATTCTATCCCTCTCTCTCCCCTACTTTCTATCCCTCTCTCTCTCCCTACATTATATCACTATCCCTCTCTCTCCCCTACTTTCTATCCCTCTTTTTCCCCCTACATTCTATCCCTCTCTCTCCCCCTACATTCTATCCCTCTCTCCCCCTACATTATATCACTATCCCTCTCTCTCCCCCTACTTTCTATCCCTCTCTCTCTCCCTACATTATATCACTATCCCTCTCTCTCCCCTACTTTCTATCCCTCTCTCTCTCCCTACCTTATATCATTATCCCTCTCTCTCCCCTACTTTCTATCCCTCTCTCTCCCCCTACATTATATCAGTATCCCTCTCTCTCCCCTACTTTCTATCCCTCTCTCTCTCCCTACATTATATCACTATCCCTCTCTTTCCCCCTACATTCTATCCCTCTCTCTCCCCTATTTTCTATCCTCTCTCTCTCCCTACATTATATCACTATCCCTCTCTTTCCCCCTACATTCTATCCCTCTCTCTCCCCTACTTTCTATCCCTCTCTCTCTCCCTACATTATATCACTATCCCTCTCTCTCCCCTACTTTCTATCCCTCTTTTTCCCCCTACATTCTATCCCTCTCTCTCCCCCTACATTCTATCCCTCTATCTCCCCCTACATTATATCACTATCCCTCTCTCTCCCCCTACTTTCTATCCCTCTCTCTCTCCCTACATTATATCACTATCCCTCTCTCTCCCCTACTTTCTATCCCTCTTTTTCCCCCTACATTCTATCCCTCTCTCTCCCCCTACATTCTATCCCTCTATCTCCCCCTACATTATATCACTATCCCTCTCTCTCCCCCTACTTTCTATCCCTCTCTCTCTCCCTACATTATATCACTATCCCTCTCTCTCCCCTACTTTCTATCCCTCTCTCTCTCCCTACCTTATATCACTATCCCTCTCTCTCCCCTACTTTCTATCCCTCTCTCTCCCCCTACATTATATCAGTATCCCTCTCTCTCCCCTACTTTCTATCCCTCTCTCTCTCCCTACATTATATCACTATCCCTCTCTTTCCCCTACTTTCTATCCCTCTCTCTCTCCCTACATTATATCACTATCCCTCTCTTTCCCCTACATTCTATCCCTCTCTCTCTCCCTACATTATATCACTATCCCTCTCTTTCCCCTACATTCTATCCCTCTCTCTCCCCTATTTTCTATCCCTCTCTCTCTCCCTACATTATATCACTATCCCTCTCTTTCCCCTACATTCTATCCCTCTCTTTCCCCTACTTTCTATCCCTCTCTCTCTCCCTACATTATATCACTATCCCTCTCTTTCCCCCTACATTCTATCCTCTCTCTCCCCTATTTTCTATCCCTCTCTCTCTCCCTACATTATATCACTATCCCTCTCTTTCCCCTACATTCTATCCCTCTCTCTCCCCTACTTTCTATCCCTCTCTCTCTCCCTACATTATATCACTATCCCTCTCTTTCCCTACATTCTATCCCTCTCTCTCTCTCCCTACATTATATCACTATCCCTCTCTTTCCCCTACATTCTATCCCTCTCTCTCCCCTATTTTCTATCCCTCTCTCTCTCCCTACATTATATCACTATCCCTCTCTTTCCCCTACATTCTATCCCTCTCTCTCCCCTATTTTCTATCCCTCTCTCTCTCCTACATTATATCACTATCCCTCTCTTTCCCCCTACATTCTATCCCTCTCTCTCCCCTACTTTCTATCCCTCTCTCTCTCCCTACATTATATCACTATCCCTCTCTTTCCCCTACATTCTATCCCTCTCTCTCTCCCTACATTATATCACTATCCCTCTCTTTCCCCTACATTCTATCCCTCTCTCTCCCC